GGTTACTCTAAGAATGTCCATGTCAAGATTTCTCCCACAACTGCACACCGAGCTCGCCTTAAATTTTGGCACACTGCCAAGCTCCGCTTCAGTGGAGGAGTGACGTCACAGCTGTCGCGTTAATTCAGTCTGCGGATGGATCACACGGAGATGAGCGGTGGCACGTCTTGCGGCATCAGGCGAGATTGATGTAGGAGGACGCACTTGAAATCTCAGCACGAAAGTTCCATCAATAAATGACCGAGAGCGGCCGACCGCTGCAAGACTGGCCTATCTTTTAGCTAACTTTTCCCTGTTTGTTAACGCGAGCGCGGAAACTTGCGGTTACTTTTCGAATTTAGAACGGCAAAATCGGAAAGCTTCCTTGCTGCACCTGATGAAAATAGCAAGAGATCTTGCATTGCCTGGTGTAGCAGGAGGGAAAGGAAAAGGTAGGCGGAGGCCGAGAGGCAGCTGATGCCCCAGCACAGACGAGAGCAAGCATGTGACATGCAGGTTACTTTACGGGAATATTCGTGATTGGTGATGGAGACAATGATTCATTTAGAGTGGCATGCAGGCTATGTAGGCAGGCCAATAGAGCTTTCAGGACAGACGTCGCTTTTTACATTGAGAAATAGCAAAACGGGATAAAACAAACATGCATTATTTAAAATGAACATAGGCTAAACAAATCGCATGCCTGTGATCGCCACCACCGCCCGGAAGACGCCAGGCTCGTAACCCAGCGGCAAATCCATTGGGTGCCGGAGAGGCAGATGCGATTTCATGTCCTTGACCCCGAAGCCTCGCACCCTGACCTGCCCGCCCGCTTTGCGTTGCCTGAGGCGCGTAGATACTGAGTGGACTACTGACCAGGTTGACGCTGATTGGTCGCTCCTGAGTGGGGAGGCGGAGCAACAGGCGGTGAACCTCAAGGTATGTGTGCAATAACATGAGCAAATATCCGCCCCTTGGCACCCAAGCGGCTGAAAGGGACGGAGCGGAGAGGACGCCCACCGTCGCTGACGTCGGACGTGAGCGGACGAGGTGATACAAATGAATCCTGACGCTGCTACAAAGTTGGCACCAATCCACTGTGCAAGCCCGAGCAATCGTGCTCCGCTATCGAAAACTCGTTTTCAAAAACCTTCCGAACAGCCCCCAGCAAGACAAATTTGCGGCACTTTTGCCACGCATGGCTGGGATGCCTTCATTTAGTGTTCCTGACACTGGCATTAAATTTTACGCGGCGGAACTGCGAATGAGTGTGAACTGTCCACATAACAGTAGCACTTGCACCCTTTTCAAGAGGGTGATGGGTAACGACCCGGAAAGCTAATGATCGACAAGCGGTCACTTCAGAAGGGTGCCAGTGCACGCCGACAAAAGTGTTAGGGAATGTCGTGAGAAGAAGAGCATTCTAAACGCGGAGGAGAAAAACGTCGCATTTTCTTGCACGCAAAACAACTGCTCTTCAGTCCGAGCACCGCACAATCATTTCATCGAAGGAACATCAAAGCAACTTGATATACGGCCGTAAATCGGCACAAAAACTTAACTAAAACAGGCAGCAAAACACTTTGTGCGGCAGGGCTCAATTTATGCGGCACGTACACACAACTTAACATAATCCGGGAAAATAAACAGAGACCAGGCCAGAGACCAACCAATATGCATGTAGACGCAACATTTGCGTGCAGTCCCCCTCCTCAAACACGTGGAATCGATTTACCCAACCCATTAATCTGGCGGTATCTTCTAAAATAGTAGCAAACCAAACAAACGTGAAAATATTATTTCGACATGACACACCTGAATCGATATGGTCCGGGGTCACCGACGTCTCTTTAGATCCGGAGCCCTTAGCTAAAACGTGGACCCGTTCAAAATGCATTTTCTAGCGCTGACATCAACGGCGCAACAGCTGTGTGACTTAGTGGCACAGCCCGCGAAGTTTTATGACGTCATAAATATGCATAACCTTGGCAGTGTTCGTGTTCCATTTCCCCGCTGCCTCGAACTATTCCACTAAGCCCGGAGGCGCACGTGCCCCGCACTGTTTGTGTATGAATTTATGCATGAATTATGCACCAATCAAGCTCGGGCGCCAAAATGGAGCTACCGACCGCCAGCAGGGCAGTGTAGCCAGTTCAAAAATGTTGCCAATCATGCCTTAAGGTTGCCCACTGCCCACTGCACTGCCTAACGCGACCTATCCAGGTCACGTGAGAGGTCACCACCGTCCGCAAGTCGCCGGTCAAGCATTCCAAAGTGTTACCACTTTGTACTTAAGTAGTAAGTACCAAGTCTCTTTACTTGTACTCTGTACTTTAATTTGAGTGTATTTAAGTACTAAGTCTCATGGCGAGCAGAACAGGTAGGTTCAATGCCCAACGGCGGCTGTTTTCACGGGGTCTGTTTTCTACGACTGGGGCGGTGCAGCTCGCGGAACTAGCAGTGACACACATCGGCAATCGACGACCCTTGCTCAGCCTTAGATAAGGCAGTAGTACTGACGTCATTCCTTGGAGAAATAACAAGGCAATGGATACACAGATGAGCTGATATTTCGGCAACATGCCTTTATCGAAACAATAGCAGAAGTGAATTCACTTCTGCTATTGCTTCGATAAGGGCATGTTGCCGAAATATCAGCCCATCTATATCTCCATTCTCTTGGTTTTCTCCAAGCAATAAGACTATTACTACTGTTTTATCTTTGTGAATAATGTTCCTCGTAAATGCACTTAGCCACCTATGTAATTCGCTTAGCCTTAATCGAACTAGGTCCCGATCTTACTTTCAGTGACCCCGGGCGAACATTACAAAAAGGTGGCAGCTCGTCCCTTCTACCATCGACCCTGCGCTGAAGAGGTGGCAAGGCTGGGGCGTATCTAAGTGGGCATACCTCCCGCTTACTCCACCCCCTCCCCCCCCCCCTTAGGAAACCTGTTCCGTGGCAGCATGATGTATTCGAGCAAACTCGACCGTATTTCAGGCCACGCCCGGGGACATGTGGTTTGTGCCCCCCCCCCCCCCCCCACCACCAAAAAAAAAACAAAACATAAGCCCATGCGGCAGGGCCGGTGGTGCACGTCACAGGTCATCTCTCCAGCTCACCACCACGTCCGCGTCCTCCTGCGGCTCCTCTTCCTCTCGGCCTTTTACCGCCGCCCGTCCGCGGGAATACGCCTGGGACTAATCTGTTTACCGCGCCGCCTCTCTCGCCCCCGCGTCGCTCGCCGGACTCGCCGCCACGGCCGCCGGGGTGGAGAGCCTCCCCGCCCCACCCGCATGTCCCGCCCACCGACGCATGTCCCGACCCCAGCGGCCCATGCGTCGATGGGCGAGTGGGTCGTAGCCACGCGTCGCCCTAGCAAACGGCGCAATCAGCAAAGCACACACGACTGGGCCTGTTCTCGTCAATAAGCCGGTGGATGAGAGCTCGCGGCCCGTTTGGTATTATTATGAGCATTGCAATGCAAACGAGAGCAAACGTTTACTTCGAGGCTGGCAATGATGGAACAGTCAGGGTTTGTTTTCAATGATAGCATTTCTTATGTGTTGGGTCAATACTGTGCAACGGAGCAGGTGCCAGCCTAAGCGCACGCGTTCAGCACTTGATGCAAAACGTCTCTATGCCTCTATGCCTCCAACAACTGCGTACACAATGTTGGAAAAATAACTAGAAAATTGGTCTTTCAGCCAACCACGACACTAAATGCAAAAAATATGCGCACCACGTACACAATGTTTAATTGCTGAGACGAACGGAGCGACTGCCCACTCCGCACTCCCAGTACACTCCGCACTCCGAGCACTCCGCGTGCGACTCTGGCATACAACGCACTCGCTTCCTACGAAGCTCACCGCTGCGTATAAGTACGCGAATGGCCGAAACGAAAAGCGGCCATTACTGGCTCGCCGAATAAATCGCGACGCTCGTTTCGCTCGCCCGTGCCGGCTCGAACCAGGAAAGACGAGCGCGGCGGTTGCGTGTGGCCGTCGTAAGGAGTCGTTGCGTATGCGAGAACGGCCTCCAACTAACTGCTCTGGTGGCTATCGCTGAGCAGCTTCAAAGGGGGGCGCCTGACGGAGGCAGGGTGCCGGGAATCGCAGCAAGTTCGGCCGTTTGGGAGTGAGATTAAGTATGCCGCAATTGGAGCAACAGCACTAGGATGAGGCCCTGAATGTTCTGCACAGCTGGTTTCACGTAGTATGTCTTGTCACCTCGCACACATTCCACGAAAAATGTACCCCTTCCCACCTCTCGCGAACGTTTTCGAACTTCGACCTGGAGAACGTGGCCACGGGCTGGCAATGAAGAACCGACCTTAAATCTCAGTGCGCCGCCTTCATCCGCAACCGACGGAGAGGAAATCCCTCTACCTTTCTCACAGGCTGCTTGGAGCTTGGTCCAGCCTAAGGCTCAACACAGCCCCCTGGCCGGGCCGCTCCTCGTCACTGAGAGATACTGGCGTGTCCTAATGCACTCTGGACCCCGAGGGAGGACGAAATGGGACCATCCGTCCAGCAAGTAGCTTTCTAAAGAGCACCATCCGTCCTTACGAGAGCTTAGTTTTAGGCACCGATTGCCGCCTAAAAAATACCCTGCAGGACGGTGCCCTCCACCAACAATGCGCGTCCTACCCCAGGTCGGGCTGTTATACACCCGCTTGGGACGCTTACGCCAGTTGGGGGTGTCGTACGCCCGTAATGGGTGTTGTATACCAGCTTAGGATGTCATTTCCCGGATCGACGAGTGACGAGCAACGGCCCAATGACTTGGCTCTGCGTTAATTAACCGGACAAGCCGATAAATTTGCCAAACAAGCGGATTTACCAAACGACCGGATTTCGGAACCCCAGCAGATCGGTCGCTGACAAATATGCATAGCGGGGAGATTCGGCGCCAAGGTCAGGCTTGCGCCCCATGCCCGGCGGGGTGGTGATACGAGTGCCAGGAAGCTGCTTAGAGCCTTGGCCGTGGCCTACCACTGAGCAACGCACCAGCAGAGCTACACAAACACCAGCCGGAAGAGCAACACAAACACCAGCCGGATGAGCAACACGAACACCAACTGGAAGAGCAACACGAACATCAGCCGGATGAGCAACACGAACACCAGCCGGAACAGAAACACGAACACCAGCCGGAACAGAAACACGAACACCAGCCGGAACAGCAACACGAACGCCAACCGGAAGAGCAACACGAACACCAGCCGGAACAGCAACACGAACACCAGCCGGAACAGCAACACGAACACCAGCCGAAAGAGCAAAACAAACACCAACCGGAAGAGCAGCACAAACACCAACCGGAAGAGCAGCACAAACACCAGCCGGAAGAGCAACACAAACACCAACCGGAAGAGCAACATGAACACCAGCCGGAAGAGCAACACAAACACCAGCCGGAAGAGCAACACAAACACCAGCCGGAAGAGCAACACAAGCACCAGCCGGAAAAGCAACATGAACACCATCCAGCGGTGAGCTTACGCTTGAGCGAGAGCAGCAACGCAGATCACTGAGCGCCTTAGAGAGGAATAATCTGAACGAGGTTCATTAACACCTTAGAGAGGAATAATCTGAACGAAGTTCAACGAACACCTTAGAGAGGAATGATCTGAACGAGGTTTAATAAACGCTTTAGAGAAGAATAATCTGACGGAGGTTCACTGCAAGGACGCTGACTCAAAACGGCTCCCAGTGCTACCGATTTTTTTCGATGAGCTTATTAATGGCCATTTTTGACAGTCCCGTCACATAGATAACAGCATGCCAAGCACGCGCGCAGCACAGCAAGGACGCACATTGCAAGGGATCACGGGAAACACGTGCGTATGATTGTCGCGCATAAGCATAACGCCCGCAAGAAAACCTTACCGGCCCCACCGCCTTCCGGTGCAAAAATCCAAAACGCATCCCGGCTACAGCGACCAACGCAGACGCCCCCCCCCCCGGGGCGGCAGCACTCCCCCAGCATCGACCTCGCCCGAGGCCCCAGGTGCGGCCGGGCCGGCGGCGGACATCTGCCCCCGACACCGGGTCCCATCACCGCACAAGCGGGCTGCCGGTCATCTCGTCGGCGGCCGGTTACCGGGAAGCGCGCCACTCCATTCCCTCCCAGCTGGTCGAGGATGACCCAGCGGCGCAGTGAGGCATCGCCTGAGGCGGTGTGATGAAGGGCGCGCCGTCCGGCAGCTCGGCATGTCAGGTCGGCTGGTGTGTGTGTGTGTGTGTGTGTATATATATATAATTTATTTATATATTTATTTATTTATTTATATACTTTTTTAGTTTTAGGCTGAGTCAAGAGAATGTTTCGCTTTAGTATATGTTTGTGATATGTATGTGATATGTATATGTATGTGTATATATTAACAATCGGCGACTTGCTTGGGAGTCCAGAAGAAACAGCGTGGCGTGCGCTACCTATATTACCAACACATTATGGTTGGCGTGGAGGATCAATTGCACATCTTCCCTCTTCCCTGCTCTCTAACCTGATCCGCATAAGTGTGTACGACCCCTCCAAGGATGCCCTTCGCACAGTGCAGACGCAGGCACGCTCCGCTCACACGTGCTGAGAGCGCATAAGCCAAGGTGAGGCTTGGAATGCATGAATCACAATGCGTGTGAGTACGGAGCCAAGACTAAAATGAAAGGGAGAACGGGGAGACAACGACTAGAGCAGCCCCTTAGCTGGCGAACAGCTGGAGCAAAGGGAGGGAATGGGATGGCATGGAATGACATGGAGTCGCATGGAATGGAATGGAATGAAATGCAATGGAATGTGATGAGATACGATGCGATGCGATGAGAGAAGAGGGAAGGAGAGCAGATCAGAGCAGAGGAGAGAAGAGTAAAGAAGACGAGAGGAGAGAAGACGAGAGGAGAGGAAAGGGGAGGGGAGGGGAGAGGAGAGGAGAGGAGAGGAGAGGAGAGGAGAGGAGAGGAGAGGAGAGGAGAGGAGAGGAGAGGAGAGGAGAGGAGAGGAGAGGAGAGGAGAGGAGAGGAGAGGAGAGGAGAGGAGAGGAGAGGAGAGAAAAGAAGGGACGAAAAGAGAAGAGGATGGAACAAAAGAGAAGAGAAGAGATGAAAAGGGAAGAAAATACGGGAGAACAGGGTAAAAAGCTACGAGAGGTAAAAGAACGAAATGAGTGGAGAATAAAGATGAAGAGAGAAAGGTTAACTACAACAGAGAGATCTATAATGGAATGAATACCTAGAAAAAGCGAGCAGCGTAGCAACGAGACAACCGGGGCGAGAAAACAGCAGAGGGAGAGCCAGTGGTGCAGAAGACCGTCAAGATATATAAACTTCCTTCCAACGACAGGCGCTCGCCGTGGGAAAGCAAGGCTGTCGGGGCTTTAGATGTCGGATGGCGGGTTTAGCAGCGGCCGTCGTCGACGGCGGGTCGCGGGCGCGCCCCACACGTCAGCACGAGCGGCCGGAGCCGAACGGACAAGCGGGCCCACACGTCACGGCAACGGCGCCATGGCGTGGCTGCTGGACGTTGTAGCAGCGAGGAACGGGACGGCGGGACTCGTCCGGCCGCCAGTAAACTCCGCGGAGAAACGAAGGGGTCTGGGTCGGGGTCGTCGGTGTTTATGGTCGAGGCGTGGCCGGGGCGACCGGCGGAGTACCTCCTCCCTGCGTGGTATTGGTCGCAGTGACGCTGGGCCTTGTCTTTGTGTAGTTCAAGGGATGAGCCAGGATTCTCGTGATGCATTCGATAGCATTTGGTTTAACTCTACCGAGACTGGTGTGGAGAAAAGCATTCGGCTATACCCTACCGAAACTGATGTGAAGAAAAGCATTCGGCCATACTCCACCGAAATTGGTGTGGAGAAAAGCATTCTGCTACACTCTACCGAAACTGGTGTGAAAAAGGCATTCGGCTATACTATACAAAAACTAGTGAAGAAAAACGTTTAGCTTGACTCCACCGAAACTTGCGTGAACAAGAGGGCCATGCGCAACGTAACCTGCGCATTGGCAAAGCGATCAGCAGCCATTAATGTTACGTTTGTGATATTAACCGACGCATGCAACATTGGCCGATATTTGTTTAGGTTAGGAAAAAGGGGACGCACTTGGTTCTCAGAATCACGTCAACTGAGCTAAAACTGAGCCAGATTGAGCAGCAGCACATACCAGCAATGCCGAACACGTCACTCACAAGTATGTTAAAACAAGCCAAACCCGGCTGAATCAATCAAAGACCGTCATGTCATTTCCCACCAACAAACAGACGAAAACGACATCTGTCGCAAAAGGCGCAAACACCAATCTGTCTACAAACACCCTCTCCCCCACTTCCTCTATCCAATATCGAACAACACCTCAGTGCGAAACACCCAAAGCCAACCCCCTCCCGCCTTCGAAAACCCAAGCCGACATCGCCAGCCAAGTGAGACATCGGCCCCGCCCGGTCTCATCTGCATGCAGATTGGACGCGCGTGGCCCGTGCCATCAAGAAACCGCGGTTCGGGTCGCGGGACCGGGCTGAGAGGACACCGACCGGACCCGGATCCGGACCCGGATCCGGACCCGGATCCGAAACCGGACAAGGACCCGGATCCGGATCCGGACCCGAACCCGCACCCGGATCCGAAACCGGACAAGGACCCGGATCCGGATCCGAAACCGGACAAGGACTCGGACCCGAACACCCGACCCGACAGAAGGGCCTCTGAAGTTTTTTTGCATACTTGCAGGGGGTAACGAAACGCCGAAAGTGCCGCGTGAAAAGAACATGCGGAGTAGAAAGCACGATGTTAAATTTGCAGTGTGCGCGCCGTTATTATAGAGGTATGAGTATTATTAGTTTAAACAGTGTAATTTTTGTGTTCAGCGCATTATTCCATGCACCTCGGAATTCAGAACAGGAAATTCGCGGGCGTTGAATGGCAAACGCTCATATTCCGTCGTGAACATTAAGTGATGATGATGATGATGATGATGATTTGAGCTTTGGGACGGGCCGACTACAATGGTCATATGGCACCCTTAAGTTACCTTTTCAACATATGTATGAAAAAGCACGGAGCCAAGTTTACGTTCAATATATGGCATGAAATCTTATGTCTTCAAGATAATCAAAACTATGGCCGCCAGTTACCAGCCCCGAGGTATCTCCCAAGATGCCAGAGAGCGTTTGACGCACGGGCCCTGGTCCAAAATGGCGCGTGCATTGCGAAGCGCGGTGGGCATAATTTATCAACACATGTCATACGGTGTAAAGCTCCCCGCAGCGAGGACATCGCGGTTGATCTGCCCCACATAACAGTGATCGGTGAGTCGCGTTTGTACGTCCGGCACTCCAAAGCCATTTCTGTAATTTTTCATGATATCGAGCATCGGTATTAACTGATTTTTTTACACAAAAAATGTTTACGAATGCTGTCAGATTTTGTTTTAGGAGCGAAAATCTGCAAACAGGGTTACACTAAGCTTATCGAATTAATCGTACTTCGCTCACCGAAGAGGTGGTCGAAAAACTGAAATGATTGAGGTTCCGTTGATTTGTCCTCGATCGAAATTTTTTGACATCACAACAGCATTTTTGTGCACGTCGAGTGCTAAGGTCACGCTCAAGGTCATGCTTAAGTGTTGCGCCTCCAGCTCGGCTAAATCTAGCGTTTTGATGGGCATCGTCAATAGCTTGCCGCCGCTGTCGCGTCGTTGCCGTCGCGTCGTTGCCGTCGCGACGGAGCGACGACGGAGGCACAGAGCCAGCCCAAGTCTGGTGCAGTAGGGCGCGGCGGCAGCGCGAACCCCGAGACCACGGTACTTATTTTTCGGAGAGACCTTCGCCACTAGAGACTGGTCATCCCTCAACTTGGCAAAAACAAAGCTAATAGTCTGGCGAACAATATCGCCAAACTGCAAGCGACCCTGCGAGGTCTACCTCGTGATGGCCGTATCACCTGAAGAAAAACAACCACACATAAACTGGCCAAGTGTATGTGCATTACACAAAGCGAGTCCACAAAACACATTTCTTCAAAATTTTGCGAATATTTGTGACAAGCCTGCTGCTGGGCACTCTCGGCAATCATAGTTCCATTAAATAAAATTATCCAAATGGTTCCTGAACTAACCTAGTTTACGAGAATTCGATCCAATTAACTCAACACCGGTACAGCGCTTGTGCACTTTAAGGCATGGTAGGCATTAAACGGGGATTAAGATGACCTTTTGATAATTATATACGTGATATCCGTTAAGGAAGCTGAATGTTTTAATGAATTCTCCACGGGCCTTGCTATTAAAATCGAAAAGCTCAAAAGAAAAAATTGAACTATTCAATGATATGAGCAAGGTACGCGACAGAAAATTCAGTAGAAAATACAGCTTACTTTACGAATAACACACACATAATTATTGTAAGAGGTCATCTTAAATCCCTAAATCAAATTACACAAACTTATCATGCAAATCACCGCTACACACTTATACAAACTTC